AATTACTTTAAAATATTTTGATTCCTTTTTTTTTAGGAGAGGATGTATTTGTGTCTATTTATGCATATACTTGTACATGACATAAGGTTTTTCTAATTACCAGTATGAAGATTTGTGTCTGAGAAAATAAAGACCAAAACCTTCCTTGCTGAATGTTTTTAAACTACACAATGATTTGGGAAAAGAATGCTTAATTTTTAGATTGATTTTTAGAGAAGATAGTGGCTTTATGTTGACCTATGTAACTGCAATGCATCCACATTTTACATGCTGGCCTTGCGAATGAAAAACTAACGTTGAATTTCGTATTGTCAGGATTTTACCAGTTTTAGGACTCTGTTGTAGTTGCGTAGATTCTGTGGGGATAGAGCTTTTAAAGAGAGTTTAAACTTGGTCCACCAGTATTTCAGTTGTGAATATGTGCAAACAGCTCTTATATAGGAAGATTATGTCATTATTTTCAGTATTTCTACATGAATGTCTTGGTATGTAGAGATATCTGATTTTTAATCTCAATGTATTCTACAGGTTTACAAAATTACAGATATCATGATCAAAAGGAATCATTTGATATGTCTATCTGCAAAATACAGATTGTGTGCTTTCCTTAGTGGTGCCTGCTGCTGCCTTAGCTACTTGTAGTCATCTAATTTGAACAACTATCTTATCTAAAAGGTGCTGTTTTCCAGCGATTTCAGTATTGTTTTTCCAGTGTCGAGCTGGCCAGAGCTTCTTGGTGGGGTTAAACAGCTGCTTTCCACCATGAAGCTAAATGTGCTTCAGTGGTGGATGAAGCGATCCTTTGTAAACAGTTTGTCAGTGCTCTTGGAAGTTTGAGAACAGAGAAGTTCTTTGCAGCCTGATTGTAACGTTACTAAATTTGAGGCCGAAAGTATAATATGTTCCAACTCGAACATTTCATTATAAAAAAGCCACCTTTTGTCTCTATACGAAGTAAAAATCTCTCCTGCTGCTCCAGCCGTCTCTCCATGTAGCAGAGAAACGCTTGCATTGCACAAGAAAGTACTCTGCGAAGCCCTGCAAGGTACTGATGAGAGGACTGGCACGCGTGTGTTGCTACATGTCTTCAGTGCCTGGGAGCTAGACTGGTCGCAGCTACCTCAGGGGGTTTTGTCCTCCCCTCTGGGCCCTGGAGCACAAAGAAGAGAATCTGCACGTCACTTTCTTTCTAGGGGGAGAGAAGTGGCAGAGCACATTTCAGTCTATTCACATGGATATACCAGATTTTAATTTCTGAAATTAGAGCCAAAGCCCCTGCATTTAGTTTTGAGATGAAAAGGACAATTGAGAGGCTTAAAATACAGTATGGTCTGTATCCCTGGCCAGTGGAGTCCCTACAACATGGTAGGGAATCTGACCCTGTTGTTAATATGGCTTAATTGGTCGCAGAGTGTAAATCAGAGAACAAGGAGAGCAAGTAGTGACGTAGTTTGAGTTTTAGTGTCATCTCTTTATTTTATGCCTAAAGGGAAGGAAATAAGTTTTGTGTGCGGGTTGAAGGGATGGGTCACTCCGTGCGACTTGTGTGCAGGCTCAGCGCACGTGATGGTTGTCAGCGTACCATGCTGTGGACGTCAGCTGCCACACGGAGTTAAAAGCCAGGCGGATAGCTACAGTTTTCCCACCCATCCTCTTTCAGATCGTACATGTCTTAAGCCTTTCTCTCTCTCTCTCTCTCTCTCCCCCCCCTCTCTCTGTGTGTGCATGTGTGTAATACAATACCTCTGTATCACGTTATGCTCTGTCACATGCACATGGGCAGTGCCCTGGGCCTCCAAATCTTGCGATGGCCTTGATAAAGAGAACTAAAAAGTAATTCAGAGTTACACTGTAACTTAGCAACTTGCCTTTAGTTGGGAAGGCTCTGTAACTCGAGAATCGCAGGAACAGCCTGAAGGATAAATCCCGATTCAGGTTTCCAGTTCCTCCTCTGCTCTGCTTTATTTAGGGAAAGTAAGTCCTTTTGCATAGGGAAGCTTAATCTCTGCTGTGTACCTGGGCAGTGGCTCTGCAGCAGAAATTGGGTCTGTTTCTTTGCAGGGTGTGACTGTGGGTTGGTAACCTGTTCCTTATCTCTGAATCACACTCCGAGCAGAGGATATAAGGATTCCTTAATCACTTTGAGCTATAACCTAGTCCTTTAAATTCTAATATGATAACTTAATATGAAATACTTCCTTACCCAGGGTCTACTCAAATGTCTTATTGGACTAGTGAAAACTAGAACCTATGGCTGCTAAATTCAGCAGCAGATTTTTGTCTTGTCCTAAGGAAGTCTATTTGGGCTTTTTAGACTTTGATGTATTTTGATTAAGGCACAGCAAAGCATATTTCTAGTGGTTTCTCCTTGACATTCTCAGATGAGAAGGCATTTCTGCAGTGTCTAGATTATATACAATTAAAAAAAAAAACCCACCTACTAGAAAAAACAAGTTTCAGAACAACATGAGATAGATCCAGATTCTCTGCTTTGAGGTGACTGCGATGCTGCTGTTAGGAAGAGAAGCAATGAGGATGACCTCAAAGTATTCCGAATTAATAGCAGCACTTTTTGTGTCACCCTATTTTTTAGATCATTTTCTTTTTTTTTTTTTTTTAACCTAGACTCTGCAATTCTTGAGGAGATGTTACTTCACAACGTGAAATACTTCATTAAGAGTCTGAAATGAGCGTGTTGTGTATCCTAAATCCAGGCACATTTTTTAGACACTGAAATTTTCTAAAAGGCAATAGCATCAGTCACCTCAAACACTTAAATCCTGCCCTAGAAGTATTTTATACCAACCTCATACTTATTTGTCTTCTTGAAACAATACTTTAAGGAGAAGAAAACATATAATTGCTCTGTAATTTCTGCACTAAAATGTTTTCTTTTGAAGTAGCTCCGCTTAGCTAGTAAAAATACTTCTGGGTCTTAGGCAAGCATTTAGTACAATTTAAAACTGCAATGCTAAATTTCATTGGTTGGACTTTTTATTAGATAAGGTAGAAATGAAAGCAGCAGGCAATTTAATTAGCAGTAATTTTTCTGGGCAAGTCATTACTTTGATGAACTTCAGAGCAATGTTTATGGCTCCTAATTAACCATGTTAGTCATTTGATTGAATAATCACTTTGGAAATGTTTCTACAATTTGATTAGAGTCTGACCCACTCTGATAGTCATAAATTAACTGATAGCACTTTAGGATAACAAGACTGTAGTTACTTTACGAGAAATAAACTCTTCCTTGCTATATTTTTCCGTCCTCTGTGGACTGTTTAAACACAAGCTAACCAAAAGATTAAGTAATGTCGGTACAAACAATGCTCGTCTCCAAAAAGACTCCAGATGTTAATTCCAATTAACAGAAGCATAGGAGATAAACCCCCAAATTAGCTAAAACCAGAACTTTTTGGATATGTGCATAATTCTTTATTCTGTATACTATATTATATCGTTTCGCAGGAGCGGAGTTCATGAGTCAAAAAATCTCGCTGCCAATACTAGTGAATTTTTACCTAAAATAGAAAATAGCATCTGTTTCAGTTCTCCAGCTTCCTCTTTTTTACGCAGATTTTTCCATTCTCTTTAAAATACAATCTACTTGGTAACGTAAGTGATTCTTTGCAGGTGAACCACTACTTGTAGCCTCAACTTCTAGTCTGCAAAACTGTACTTGACTGACGTGATCATGGGATCGCTGATTCCTGTGATTGCTCAGAACAGTTGTCACTGCGGTGTTTGAAATTCCAGAGGCCTGAGGAGGCAGGCACCGAGCGTTGCCTCGAGGGAAGGGGTAACGAAGAGCGCCGCGCCGCTGTGCAAGAGACGCCTTCCACTCTTGGAGGAAACCATTATTACCACCCTGTGTTTCGCTTGTTTTATGAAGTCAGAGTAAAACCTCATTTTCTTATCCTGCCAAATCTTTGATACTCATCACTAGTCAGTGAACAGTGAAATTTAGAATTACGTTCTGAAAGAGTTTGTTGGCAGTGTTGGAAAAATAATGTCTGCTCTTTTGACCTCTCTTTGTGTCTCTTACAGTTACAAGTTACTGGTAACAGCTTGCATAGTTTAGGGTAGGAGTTTATCACAAGTTCAAATAGGCTTTGTTAAGCAAGACTTTTGATATCCAAGAAGTGGGTTAAACATGGTCGAGAAGGGCAAACATTTATGGTGTACTTCTGTTTGTAAGTCCCTGTGCACAGGATGTGGCTACTTGGAGAAGGAGCAAGACACGGGAAAAGTATAAAGACGTTCAAAGAATACTATTTTCATCAGTTTATTTTTTCTCACTCTTCTTGCATACTTGAGATGGGGAATAGCAAATAAACATTTGTATTACTTTGAATGTGCAGACTAATTTTTTAGGGATTTTGCGGGGGGAGGGGGATTGGGTTTTGCTTAAAGGCGTGCAGGTGGAGGGTGGAATTGCTACGTCTGAATTCCTTAACTAGTTTAAATGCTTAGCAATTGTGGACAATTTCTTTAACCTTTCACATCCTTAACAAGAATCCAGGAAGCAGTATCTTGCTCTAGACTAACCTTGACATTCCTTGTATTAATAATACCATAATTTGCAGAGTTTTTAAGTCTCTAGTGTGATTGGCAGGCTTTTCTGTGTTACTGTTTAAAAATGTTATGTCAAATTAGTTACCGAGATGGATACACAAGCACAGGGTTTAAAATATTAATACTGTCTCATGTGGATTTTGGTCTGTGAATGGTTTAAAATCATGGGAGTCAGCTTTTAGTAAGGGTGACTGCAATGAGTGTTCGAGTCCAAGTGCCTTTGTTAGATGGCTCCTTTATGATCACTTTATGGTTTTCTTTTTTGCCATGCTGAAATGGTAACTATGTGTTATACAGGTCCCCCCTCCTTGCTGTAACTTGCATCTTTTTTGCTACTCCTCTGTCTGCAGCCTGTCTCATTGATAACCTGCACACTTTTAATTCCAGACAGTCTTTTGACTAGTGTTGTCGTCTTCTCCTTTCAGAAGTGCCTAGCTGCCATTCCATTTACATGAGGCAAGAAGGCTTCCTGGCTCACCCAAACAGAACAGAAGTTAAGTTTTCTATTATGTATCGCTTTTGTACGAGAGAAACTGAAAAAATTAAAAAGCCTGGAGGGATTTGGGATTCACTGGTTTTAAGTCTGCTGCTGGGACAATTCCATCATCTTTCTTTCCCTTCCCAGCCCTGAGTTTCTGATGCACTGATCTCTCGTAGCTTCTTCTGGTGCCGTGCCACAGGTTGATTATGATAGAAGCAACTTTATTATGGATTTATTCATTCTGTTTTTCAAAGCCTCCAGCTGTTGAAGGGAAGAGACGCTTATAAATTTGTCCGTCTTACCTATTCTATTACAATGTTATTTTCCAGGCTATTGGTGTGACAGGCTCAGTTAAATGTTAAATAATCGATTTGATACTTTAAAAAAATTTTCAGTGAACGTTTTTGGCTTTTCCTGTGGCTCATTATGAGGTTCCCTCCCACCCCCCATAATGTTCAGAACCTCAGAACATTATGAGATTCTGATTCTTCTTAGGCCCCAATTGCACGGTCATTTAATAGCAAAAGTCTTATTTACTTCAGTAGCACTTTAAATATATTCCGAGTAAGAGTGCCAACAGAACGAGTTAAAAATGACCACTGAAAGGTAGGTTCTGCCTTATATTAAAGCAGGAGACTGGATCTTTTTAGTCTGTATACAGTCTTTGTTATGCATTTGTTTGTTTGGTTTTCCTCCAAGGAGCTAATTTTGCAAACCTGAGGAAAATTGTATATGAAATTGATGGGAATTCAGACAGACGTATGAATAAAAGCCCTTTAATAGGACTTCATTCAATAATCAAAAGACACAACTGGAAAGATAACAAAATTGGCTAAAAGCCCACCTACTTCTGGAGTGGAGTAAAGGCAGAAAATAGAAATAGAAGGTAATACGTAACAAGGAGGGCGAGACAGGAAATGGAAGTATATAACAGTCTCCGTATATGAAATTATATCAAGTATAGAAGCTTGATAAGGGAGCTGAAAGACATCAGGGAAAAATCCACAAGCTGTAGGGCTAAGGTAACAAATCTGAGCTTTATTCACAGCATAGATAGGGGAAAAATAATCTTAGCAATGTTATACAGCCATAAATGCTTGGAGGTGGTAAAATTGTTATGAATGACGTAGAAAAAGAAGTGATGTTCAATAAATATTTGTGTTCTGTATTTGGAAATCAGTCAACATGATGTCATGGAATAAAGGTCATGTCAAACAAATCTGATTTCATTCTTTGTTAAGATTAAGTTTGATTGATAAAGATACTTGTCTCCCTATAATATAGTTAGACTTTTTATGGCATTTGTCTTACCACTGCATTACATTCTGATTAAGAAGTTAGCACTATGCAATATCAATAAAGTACACATTAAATACATTAAGGCCTGGCTAACTGACAAATCTAAAAGTGGCTGCCACTGGGCAATCATTGAATGGATTGTTGCTATTACAGTTCTGTAGGAATTGATATCAGGACTGTTGCTATTCACCATTTTCAGTAATGATATGGAAGTAAGTTAATTGATAACTTTATGGCATAAAGATAGGCAGAGTGGTAAATAACGGGCAGGACAGGGCAGTTGCACAAAGCAATTTGAATTGTTTGGTAATCTGGGCACATTAAACAAAATGTGGTTTTAATATGCTGCATGTAGACCAGGCCAATGGAATTAGAAAAGAATATATTGGAAAAAATGACTGTGAGAAGGGGCTACTGCTCCTAGGCTTCACAATGGGGAAGAATACCCCAACTAAACATTGCAGCCATATGGCAAAAAGAGCTTTGGTAATATTTACATAATTAAATTGAGAGTCATGGGAAGGCGGGAGGAGACAGGGAATGACGTGCCCTGCGCTATGCCTGTGCAAAGTAGCAGTAGCGAGACTGATACTGCCATGCAGTGCAGCTCTGGTTAAGCGGCACATTAAAATAATGGATAAAAGCCGAAGCCACACTAATTCGTAAAGGAAATGAGACAAACGTTTTGGAGCAAAACATGGAGAAAAATTGACAGTGTTTCATTTTCACAGGTGGAAATTAGCTATCTTTTGGGAATGCACACTTTAATTAAACACCCAGGATTTGAGCTCAAAATGTTGTAATTGGGTGGTATGTAAAGGATTTGGGATATTAATTGGATTCCTGTATGACTTAGTGTTCCCACTGGCATTAAATCTATGATCTCTTCTTTATTCATACATCTTTTAAATAAACACCTCTCTCTTTGACTTACAGGTTGTATGTACGAAAAGGGACCTAGACAGTTTTATGATGACACTTGTGTTGTTCCAGAGAAGTTTGACGGTATGTATAATACTTCTCTGCTTTTTTTCTTGTGTGGGGAGCTGAAAAATGAAGAGATGAGGGACTTCTCTCTGTTGCTGATCAAAAAAGGTTGGTAACATGCCAATTTAGGATTCCTTAACACACCATTTGCAGTGCGCCCAACCAAGGCTGACCTTTGTCTCTTGAAACCAAAGTCTCCTTTTCAATCGGATGTCATTCTGCTTTTGCCAGTGAAAGATCCTGCATCCAGAGTTGTGACAGAGGAACTCAGTTCTTGTAATGTTGAGAATTAATAGGAGGATTTCCGTTGCACTGATGATCACATATAGCTTGTTAGAGATTTAATGAAAGCTGTCTTTATAATTAAGAAAACAGAGGAGAAGGCAGCAATTTGGGTTTTACAGAGGACTAAGCCTCTTATCTCATTGTCTGTGAAGAGATGAATTGTAGACAGTAAGTGTGCAGGGCTTTTTTGTGTATGTATAAGTGTATTTGTGCTACATTAAATGTTGTACTAGTGGTTTATTTTTCAGTGGGGCTGATAACAAATCAATGACCTTTTCACAGCACTACCCATTATAACAAACATGTTTTAAGAGGGATTCTGGGGTCAAGTAAAACTAATGTCCCAAATTATCCTCAGTTACACTGATGTAAAAACAGTTTCCTGGTGTAATTCAGTTGATTTCAGATTTATTTCATTATAACCAAAGTAGATGGACGCAGTATTCTGTGCCAGTGACTCTGTTAGTCTGCAACTTTGGGAAGTCATTTGGAGACTGACTGTTTGCTATAGTAGCTTGTTTGCATTAGTGTATGTATGTCCAGCTTTGTTTATTTTAGCAGGAGAGATTAGATATCCTCCTGATGAATTTGTGAACTGCTCTCTGACCGTAGCTAAAAATACAGCTGCAGATCTCTTTTCCATATTGTTTTATTTTATTTTTCCCTGAGAATCACTTGTATGGACTACAGTACTACAGTGTCTGGCACCATTTGTTGTGTTTACTGAAGAATGGGAGACACTAAAATGAAATGAACTGAGAGCATTACACATTCTTCAGACTGAGGTATCACATGCATTTCAAAGTTGGTGAGGAATAGCAAAAAATAAATAGAGGATTTTAAATAATATCATACCTGACTCTGAAGACTGTTAAATTTAGCATTGCATTGTCACAGGATTGACATATTCAGTTAAAGGGTACTTTACTGAAAGTCTGCTTTATACCCTGACATACATACATACAAATATATATATTTGTATGTATGTGTGTACACACGTGTATCGTGTCAGTTCAGCATCCCTCCAATGCGCACACACCCCAAAAAATCATTTGTGTACCTGATCTGTTTTCAGTATCACTGGCAAATTCCTGTTTACATTTGTGCAACAGGATCAGGCCCTGTACTACATGAAGTTAAAACTCTTCAGGAGTAATACTGGTCTCCGTTGTTCTTGAAAATTCTTTTTTTTTTCCCCTTGTACAAGGAAGGGAATGCAAATAGAAAAGAAATACAAGTATATATAATAATAATCTTTGATAGTATCTGTGCGCTTGCAAAGCAAACAGTATGCTTTTAGCAGCTATGACTGTCTATTGGGACAACACCTTGTACTTCAAAAGATTGATGTAGTGATACAAATGTGTGTGTTTATACGATGAATTCTGATGAAAGATGATAGACATGTCATTATATTTTGGCCAGTAACACAAAAGTGGGATAAGCCTAGGACTAGACTTGATGTTTCAGAACTAGATTCTCAGCTGCTTCAGTTGAAATCAAAGATTGACACAGGCTAGAATATGATCCTCTCTAATACGGCACTTGCTATTTGTACGTTGCTCAGCTATCATTAAAAGAATAATTCTATCCTTGAAAAACAAGGCGTTTCAGGCCTGGAACTTGAACCTCAGAGAAACAAAAAAGCCTTGTGTTGATTTATTTGTTTTCCACAGCTATTGACTCAATTTTCTTTCCTGATTACAAAAGGAAATGCTCCATTTTTAATATTATTATTCTTACTTTCGCTACGCGGAGCCATTCCGTAATGGCCATCAGAGTATCCTAATGCTGTGGTTGAATGTAACGTCCTCGCTTTCAGCATTAGACAGGTCATGCTGCTTGTTGGCAAGGGCTGCTGTTCTGGTGGTTGAAGTGAGGAGTTTTACCGGTGTACCAAGGATTGCTTCAGCGTCAGACCTTTTAGCTATTGCTGTTTCCATGAGTTTTTCACTATGAGTATGATTTAAAAAGAACAGAGACAGAGTATGGATGAAACAGGACAGTTTTTCAGTGGCAGTTTGTGCAGCAGTTAGCAGAGTGTTATTGTTGTTTTTTAATAGCTTCCTCTGGATTTGAAATTTTAGAAAAATTACCTTACTGTTCTTTGGGGGAAATGCTAATCTAATATGTAGATATGAGTAAATGTAATGTATGCTTATATGCAAGTCCAATATGCCACAGAGGAACTTGCATATCTGCAGGATTTGCATACCTATACATAAAGCACATGCTGTTTAAGTCCAAGTCAAATACTTTGTCAAATTTTCCTTAGAAGAATTTGCATGCAAAAGAAGTCTCACTCAGTAAGGTTTTGCAGCTTTATGAAGCATACATTACATTTCCAAAACTGGGGCTTGTGCAAAGAATTGTATACAAACGCGGTTCTTCAGACATCAGAGTTGCTTACAAAAATAGTTTGTGCTCTTTCAGATAGAGGATATTGCCAAATGGTTTGCAAGAGAGATTTACATGTATCAGGAGTAGATGGGAATAGGCTTAGGGAGACTGCCATAAAGTGTGACTGAATTTAGGTATTTCTTAGTTTAGGAATACGTTACTGTAAAAATGTATACAATTAATAGCAGAAAGGGAACATGGCATTTACAGACCAGCTGGGAAGTAAGAATTCTTTCCATCCATTTCTTAACTCTAGTGATCACTTTAGCAGTTTATCTGACAAATTGAGTGTGAATGCACATTATCATTATTCTGTATGTGTGTGTGTGCGTGTAGGTGACGTCAAACAGGAGCCAGGAATGTACCGTGAGGGTCCCACGTATCAACGGCGAGGCTCGCTTCAACTGTGGCAGTTCTTGGTAGCTCTTCTCGATGACCCGTCAAACTCCCACTTCATCGCCTGGACTGGCCGAGGCATGGAATTCAAGCTGATCGAGCCAGAAGAGGTGGGTTGGGCAGGCAGCATATCCCTGCATCCACCGAGGGGTCCAGCAACTTAAACAGTTCTCCTTTGGAGTTAGCCACTATTTTCCTTCAATATTTTGCTTCAGTAGTACTTTAGGAAGGTGATGGAAAGGACTGATAAGGGAAGTGCTGTTTCCGTTGCGATAGAGATACGTTAAGCATGGTTTTGATTTCCTAATTGCACAAAGTAATAATAGTAATAGTAAAAAGTGCCGAAGGTCCAAATACTCAGCATTACTCTTGGGGCTCAGATTTTCACAACGGCCTCACACAGTAAATGAAGAGTTACTTTGTTTCGTGCTCTTGTGAAAATTTGTCCCTGAATAGTCTTTTAGCGTCAAATATTCTTCAGTGTGATGATGTGGCAACTTTGAACTTCTTAGCTCTACAGTGAAAGACCCAGAGTATGGTACAAACTGAAAAGGAGTTTAAGAAAAGCAGGCTGGCAAATCCCATCAAAATTAAATGAAACAACTCTTTTTGTCTTCCTGCCTATCTATATCATTAAGTTGCTTAGTGCATGCTTAGATCCTAGTATTGCAAACACTCATGCACACACGCAGCTCTCTTGAACCATGAAGGGCTTGTGGGTAGAGAAAGTTACTTGTATTCATAAATATTTGTTGAACCATACCGTAGTTCACTTGTGTGATAAACAGGAATAAATTGAACATTTTATTAAGTAAACTTTTTTGGCCTAGATAACATTTAAACCATACTTAATCTGTCATAGGCCCTAAGCTGGAATGGAAACTGTTAGAAAATCTGGTTTGCCTGCATTTTATTTTAATACTAATGTGGATGTTTTGATTAGCGTTGGCAAAAAGTGGTATGCTTTTACTTCATGATTTTGCACCTTGGAAGGGGTTGGGTAACAGACGAGACCACAGCTAATTTTCTGTCAGGATCCACTCCCAGTTACAGCTCAGCAGGTTGATTCAGGGGGTGCAAGGCTGCTTCTGCGTTCCACCAGCTATTTCTGCTGTTTGCCTTCCATCTATTGGCATAATGTAAGAAAGCTTTCAGATTGCTTAACGTTACATCAGCTGCCAACAGCCCTAAGGGGATGCTAGAGTAACTAGGGATGGGAGACAATACTGATGTCCCTTTTTGTCTTGACGTGGTCTTGCTTAGGGGCAGGTTGCCGTAGGGACCAGGGGGCTGGCTCTGGTCTGTCAGAGAGTCCCCATATTAGTGATATTCACAGTGGCACATTCTGGCATCATACATCTGAGAATTTGACCACAGTCTTGGTCCATTTGATAACGAAACTTTTCTGGCAAGTCTTTAAGCCTTAGCAGGCTTTAGGTTGTGCTGAGGCAGTAACAAGTTTCAGGGGACGTGGTTGTCTTAGTGGTGTGGCTTGGCCCAGAGCAGAGTGAAATCTTTGGAAAGACTTTTCTTTGATTATTTTGAGGCGAATACAATATATATGTTTCTTTCCCTGCCTAGTTTTATCTTGTCTTTAAGGTGTGTCCAAAGGTTTTCAAGATGTAAAGAGTTTTATTAAAGTATGGTTCCCAGCAGATGGTGCAAAAACTTTATATAGATTTTATTAGGTAAAAAAGATTTTTAATTTGATTTTATAGATTTTATTATAGATTTTATAGATTTTATTAGGTAAAAATAGCAGAACAAAGGCCTAAGATTTTCTCTATTTCATAATTCCCTGAAAAACAGAATACTGTGATTTAAGCTAACCAGGTCACCTACTTGTCTGGTTGTGCTGTGTTTTTGAGCAGCCCCGCATCTAGAGGCAGACAGCTCAACACTTGCTCTCTCCCCTGTGCTGTTAGTGAGTACAAAGGAGTAAGTTATTTTCACACGAATGTCATGCATCTGAAAGAAGCTGTCAATTAAAATAAGAATAGCCTATGGAAAGTCACACACTCCTGTTGGTTGCTAAGTGTAAGCTGAAGGGAAGCCAAAGAGCTTGTTGGTTCAGCTGTGGCAGGTCAGGCTGTTCCTGATGCGACCTTTCTATGCCATCCCTTTCTGGAGGCTCATGTCCCTGTAGAAAGGGTGACAACAGACGCTAACACGTATCAGCTTCTCGGGCATCATAGCTCAGTCAGAAAGTACACTTGTATTAATACAGGCCACTGTGAACTCTGGAGGCTAAAATTTGGGCATAAGGTCTGCTTTTGCTGCCCTGCTGCCGGGCCACTTCAGGAGGAAGGTAGGGTGGCGAGTAGAGACCTGAATCCCTTCAGCAGTCCTAATGAGACCTCCTAGGTGGTCTGCAGTTGAGGGATTAGGAAGACTCACATACTTAGTCTAACCATCTCTGGACGTTCTTGCCTATTTAGGAATGTCAAAATGTTATGCAGTGTAGCATATTCTCATTCACTATTCTGTTGTAGTTAACTCTGCTGTGTATTTATTATGTAAACCTGGTATGTCGGTGATTTGGGGACTCTGATTAACGCAGAAAAAAAGATGGACCCTAGTCAGCAAAGAGAGAGGTAGGTATGTGTTACAACAATGACTAGGCGAATCAAGGTTACGTAGCGAGGGCAAATCTACAGCTGGAGTAAGCTGACGTGCTTTGGAGGTGTGCTTCAATGCAGCTACAACATAGCTGAAGTTAGCAGAGCTATGATAATTTATGTATGCCTGAAAAGCTGCACCGCAGAGAGGGAATAATACTTTAAAAAGAAATTTTAAAAATTGTTCTGCAGATGGGGATAAAAATCACAGCTTTTGCTGTTGTTATTTAGGCCTTTTCAATTCCAAAGGCGGCCTGTCATCTGTGACTTGCCTCAAAAGACTCCAGACACCTATATGGAAATTTCTTAGAGCAGTGTACAGAGAAACAGTTTGGCTGCTTTCCCCTTTTTCCAGGGCTGTATGCATATGCACCTTACAAACCCTTTTTTTAAAATGTACTTTGAAGAGTTCACCAACTTGTTGCCCGCCTCCCCCTCCCACCCTGCCCCGACAGTGACATGATAATCGTTTCTACAGCAGGTAATTGTAGTGTCACCAGCCACGGATTATAATTTAGGGTGGGGAATAAGCAGTTAAGCTCTTTACACAAAAAGTCTGTTTCTCAAGAATACCTCTGGCAGTAAAACAGGAAGTATAAAGACAAGTAGAAATCATAAGTCAGAGCAGAAGGCATGTTGTCCTCCATGGAACGGCTTTACAAGTTGCTTGTGACTCCTTTTTTATTATTTTTTGTGTAAGGGAAATTATACAACTGCAGCCATGCACTTTCTCTCCTGTTCTTTGTACTGCCGTATCGTTTCTGCAGGTGATTGTCTTGCCTCCTCAGATAATTAGTTTTCTTTGCTAAAGTAGTATTTAGGACTGGGAGTTGACTTTTGACTCATATCTTCTAATAATCTCAGCATTACTGTCATTCCAAGTTCAGTCTGTATTAGTTCATGAACTAAGCGTGTGTGTGTGTGTATGTATATACACGTATGTGTTTAATATAATTTAGTATTCTAACAGCAAGGACAAAGCAAGAAAACTAGTAGAGTTATCTACAGTATCAAAGTAAAGACAAGTTTTCATCTTTCATGAAACTTTTCTAATGAAACTTAATTTTTTTTTTGTTTGTCTGTCAGCTCTTTATATGGTTTCATTTTCTGTACAATTTTCTTCAACACTTCCCCCCCCCCCCCCCCACACACTTCCACCTCATTTGCAAGTGAGTAAGTCCACTCCAAGTTTAATGGCTGATTGTGTGTCCAATTGAGAGTCATGGTAGCACATGGGAAATTCAGGTCATGGCAATTTTTTCTCTTTTATTTATGCCTTCCACTGCAGGGTTCTCCCTCCTACCCCCAAATAAAATATCTGGTGATAAGATCTGCTTGTTAAATGCATTTAACAAATCGATGCTAATCCATTTTTGTGGCAGGTGGCACGTCGCTGGGGGATTCAGAAAAATAGGCCAGCTATGAACTATGATAAACTTAGCCGATCACTTCGCTATTATTATGAAAAGGGAATCATGCAAAAGGTGAGCAGCTAATTCCATATTAAATTTCACTGGCATGTTACATGTTGATCCATAAGTCATATTACAGGGAGTACCTGTAATGGCGTTTCTTAGGTAGATTTTTCGTCTGCTTAGGCAAACGCTAAGCTCTGTGTTTCACCTGCCAGGTCCAGTATATGCATGAAGCTGGTTTTTTTTCTATGTAAAAAAAAATCTGTGGTTTTTAGATAGTTCACATAGTGCACAGCATGACTACGGGGCAACAGGTAACATTCAAAAATATCCAAAAGAGCTTCCTGGCACCTGGGAAAGGCAAATAGTAGAGTTCACTATGAATAGTGTTTCGCAGTTCTAAATTATCTGCCCAGCACTGGGATACTTTGGTAACCCCAGGATAGGGGAGAAAAATGGTACGTATTAAAATACCAAATACTTTAATATCTTGCCAATAGTGTTGCAATAATACCATTTTAAACAGAATTTAATATTTTATATGCTGAATTATGACAAATATTTAACAATAATTTATGTATAACAGTCTGGTCTTGCTGACAGTATTCAGCCTGTTCCTTTCCTGGGGCTTGCTGATTTACATCTATATTTTTAAATATTGCTATGTAGTGCTATGTAGATTGTCTGAGAAATCAATAGGAGGGACTTGTTTGCTGCATCTACTAGATCAGTTGATGTGATCAGAGATCATAATGAATGAACACCTTGCGTTATATTACTTGCTCCATATCTTTTCACGTTAGTTTTGTGATCTGTAATGACTAACATGTTTAAACGTGCCATTTGCCAAGTGTGTGAATGGAACAGTGCCATCAGCTCAAGTTACTGGGTAACTTCTCTAGTACGTTTTGTGAAGTCTCGGTTCAGAGTTGCCTCTTACGGAGGTGGGGATCTGTGTAGCACTTTCCCCTTTCACTCTCTGGCTGTGAACCTGGCAAACAATTTGGGCTAATACTGCCTTATAGCACTTTTAATACCCCAGTGCCTCATCCATTTTTGTGTCACATAATTCTATATTTGGCCTCTGTAAAGTGGACTGGAGACTGGGTCCAGTTGGGGAGAGGCAGAAACACTTGATTTTGCTGTGTAATATTTCAGGTAGATTAATTCCTTGTCCCAGGTTATAGCGTGGCTGCACAGATGGTTATGTCAGCCCGACTCAAAAGGCAGCTCAGAGGCAAGCACAGGTGGCAGAGAGTGAAATGACATAAAAAGGTGGGGACAGGAATACTATAAAGCTGATAATGCTGCCCAACCTGCACATCCATTTAATATGGACAGTTTACAGGTTCTTCTAACAGCTAGTTTGCTACCTGTTTAGCTTTTTTTTTTTTTTTAATCTACGAGAGTATATTTAACACACACTTTAAAAGCTAGTTTGAACACTTGCTTACTTTGGCACAGCCATGTTTGAGGTTTAGCCTGGGATCATCCTATCTGACTAACTAGTGTATGTTAAAATCTAATGGGAGTTCTAGATTCGTGGCAGGGTTTTTTTTTTTTTTTTTTTTTTTAAAATTTTTTTTAACAATTTTCCCCGATTTATATGCACATATTTCCCCCTTAAAACGATTTTTGTTTTAAGTTAAGCAATGCTAATAGGCTATGTGAATGTCCAGTTTTGAATGCAGACTCTAGTCTGTCAAACTTAGTGACATTACTTTGGTAGGAAAAACAAAACAAAACAAAAATAAAAAAAAACCAAGACTGTACTGCAGATATAGCCTCCTACCAAAACTTTATAGAATGCATCAGCTGAAAAAGGAGATGTTTCAGAGTATTTTACACCCATAAGAACGGAGTTAAGTTTGCAATGTTTTGCTGCCTTCATTACCCCACTCTTAATGCCGTGCCAGCTGGAGGCAGAAGAAGCAGACAGTATGATCTTTATTTTAAAATAATTTAAATTTATTATAAGCATGGAACGTGTTTCATATTTTTTAACATGATTCTTTAAATAGGGTGCTTGAGAAGACACCATATTGACTGCTTTTTCAAATAAGACAAGAAGGCTATGTTGTTTTTATCACTCTTCGGCTTTCAGGTAGATGAAGCACAGACTTTTATAGGTATTTCTGAGTAGAAGAAAACTTCAGGATCTTTGGACAAATGGCCCCTCCATAAGCAAATCCAAATGTCCCAGGCTTTGCATGAGCAATTGCTAAGTACATATTAGCCTACTTGTTTGCTTAAGCAGGCCCTGTACAATCAGCATGCACTGTAACTAAGTGCTTTTATTCTTTGGTATGAATCAATCTGTATAAAGTAAAATTCAGATCTCTGTCATGCAATGTGATTCTTTTTTCCACTTCGCACAGAATGTGGGACTTAGTCATTTTATTTTGTCACTGTAGTGACAATTTGTTTACATTTTCCAATAAGAACAGTTCCATTTGTGGTTAAGTGTAGGAAACGATCACGAGCAAAGTTTGGAAGTAGAATACCTAGTCCATCTTCCAACAGGATATCACGTGCCTCAAAACCAAAAACGTGCACAGCCTGCTTCTGCAGGTCCCTGCTGCCTTTGCTAGTGTCGTTGCCTTACCAGTTCTGGAGCCCTGTTATTTAATTGCATACTGAAGGTGAGTCCTTCAGAAATTTGTTCACCTTGGTGTTGCAAAGCCATGAAGCCTTACGCTGCTGCGCCTTTCTCTCCCCTCTCTGTTACCCAAAGGTCGCTGGAGAAAGATACGTCTACAAGTTTGTTTGCGACCCTGAAGCGCTTTTCTCCATGGCCTTTCCGGACAACCAGCGCCCCTTACTGAAGACTGACATGGAACGTCACATCAATGAGGAGGACACTGTCCCTCTGTCCCACTTCGATGAGAGCATGGTCTACATGCAGGACGGTGGCTGCTGCAACACGCACCCTTATAACGAAGGCTATGTCTATTAACAACAGTGACAGCAAAGGGGATGTTTTCCTCCTCCCTTAGGCTTCTCCTCTTTCACAAGACCCAGGGGAAAAGCTGAATCGACTTCAGTTTGTTTTTTAAATAGTACACTAAAAGGGGCTTTTCCTGTTGCATTACTCCTATGGTCTGCCATGGACAGCGCACTTTATTTGAAAGGGGAGGGTTGGAATCTAAACGTTATTCTGTGTAACAGGAGGAAAAGGGGGGGGGGTTGCTTTTTACTTAAGTTTGGGAAGGGAACATACAGGTTTTAAGTACAAAAAAGCTATATCATGTCTGTTTTGTTTCATATCAGCATAAGATATTGTACATTTTCTCTGGGTATCTGTAGTACAGTTAATTCTCATTGTGCAAAATAACCACTTGATGATATCAGCATAGCATGCCTAGGGCATTTATTTGTTGCCATTCTTAAATGTTTCTGCAGTTATAGAAGAGGAACAAAGCATATATCGCAGCATTTAATTTAGAAGTGGCAGACCTTGCGCCTTGCCTTTAAAAACGAACCAGTATCTCAAGATAGTTTTGTGGGGTTTTTTATTATTCTTTTTTGTTTTTCTATGGCCTTAGAAAGATTCCCATTTAATGGCGGAGTGGCCATCGGTACAGTGACTGAGAAGCACAATCCCTGACCTCAGATTGCAAGTTGCGTGTTATATCTGGTGCCACCTTGCTATATGTATATGGCCCACGCTATGGTTTAGACCCTACAAGATCCACTTGAGGGTAGTAATTACATGTGGTAGGCTTCCTGATGATCATGTCAGCATTAAATACAGGATCATGGTTGGGAGGGAGAAAACATTTTGTATCCTTCCATTTCCTTTGGTACATAAATAAGTTATTTAATCAATAGGAATTAACTGTACTAAGTCACATATCTAATTATGCTGTTTAGACACAGCAAGCACTCCTTGAGAAAAATATCCAATACACTAAATAGGTACTTTAGTAATTTTTAGACACGGTACCCATTAATATGCATTTAAACCTTTTACTGCTGTGTTATGTTGATAACATATATAAATACTAGATAATGCTAATGCTTCTGCTGCTGTCTTTTTCTGTAATATTCTCTTTGATGCTGAATTTACTATGACCATTTATAAGCAATGCTGTAACTACAGGTAGCATTTCAGGACAAAATAGATGACTTGAACCATTTATTGCTTAGAAAATAGCTTATGCCATAGCTGTGCTATAAGCAGCTTTTACGCGCATCCACAAATGCCTAGTAAGCTTCAGCTTGCTGAGGAAAGCTCTGCGGAACCTTTTGTAACTTTCGGTGGGACGGAGACTTATACGAACTGTCAAAGAATACCATGAAGTCGCTGTATGACGTTGTAGTGCTGGCACTGATGTTACCAATCAACTTGTTTTGGACACTAAATGTAAATGTGATCGGACATGTTTGGAAGACAATTTAAATTTTGAGGGTTTTTGTTTTGTTTATTTTTTTAAACTGTTTTGTTTTTGCGAGGGGTGATCTTGAACACAAGCCACACATTATTCTGTATGTAAAATGAAGAAAAAAAAAAAAGAAATCAAAATTTTAAATATTTATGAGCACCTTTTCTGAAATGTAATATTTCCTAGTTTGAAGGGAGGGAGAGGGGATAAGATTTAGAGTTCTTTCTTTCTTTGCCCAGAGAGATTTAAACAGGTGTTATATGGAATAGCTCATTTTCCAGCATTCTCAAGAAGTGGTAGGAAAATGAATGCTAAACCATGAAATAACAAGAATAATTGTCATCATAATAGATGGATTTCAAAGACAATCTGAGGTGCTGGGTTAATTTTCCATTCTGTGTCAGTTAAGACACTAGTTAAGCTATGAATATTTTAATACATAATTAATCAAAAGTAAAAAAGAAGTGGTCACTAGAAACCACAGGTGCAGAGAAACTTTTGGGCAGGCATTGAATTTACTTAGATCCATAAGGCAACATATTTTATCGGAGTGCATATATGCCTTAATATGTCACCTAATTCTGTCATCTATTTATAAGTCTCAATGGCACTTAAATTTTCAGTGATCGACCCAGAATCGCAAGTCGAAAATTGCAAAATTATCAGGAAAGAAAGGGACAAGGTGGAGTAAGACTTTTTAAAATAAAAAAAAAAAAAAGGAAAAAGTGGTTTCCATTGAAGTAAGGTTCAAATGAAAGATGCTTTGATGAAAAGTCCTTGGATTGGTTTTGGTTCTTTAATGTCAGCATGGGGCACCTCCTGCCTGTGGCAGGATGTGGGTATTTGGGGAAGGGGTTGGACATAAAAAAAAAAAAAAAAAAAAAAATTGCATCAAATATGTAATATTTAAGAAGAAATATATATATATATCTGTATACGGTAGTGACTCACTGAACAAAACAAGCAATCAGACCAACATTACATGATCTCTCAGCAGAAGATATAAAAGTCTTTCACTGAACTGATTAACCCTTTTAAAAATGTACCTAAAAGGTTTATTTAAAGTCTGTTTTTATTCCACTTTTTTGTTTGTTTGGGGTTTTTTTTTTGTTTGGGGTTTTCAGGTAGACTAATAAATCTGGCAGCTGATTTCTGCAAGATTGTTGTGTATTGGATTCCTAACCACTTGGACTGGAGAGACCCTTTCAGTAAGATTCTTCTTTTGGAAGAGGAGGTGATGGTCTGTTCCCAGTGAACAGCTTCCTGCAAAATGTATTTAAAAAAAAAAAAAAAAAGAGAGAAAGTGAGGAGTATGTACAATTCACCTATATGTATATATGAGGTGTAAACAGGATTTAGGTTGCCAAAGCATTGTATTTTGACTGACAAAAGGGAGAAGGGAAGGATGGGATATGTAGATTTAGAGAAAGATTAGTTCCAGCTAGGAACACTTTTCACAGGGCACTTTAACACCCTGTTGAATTTGAATGTGGGGCTTTAGGTGTTTTGGTGGGAGGGGCAAGAGGGGTAGAGGATTTTTTTTTTTTCCTCTCTTTAGTTTTTGTTATTTTCAAGCTGTACCACAGCAGTAGCCAGAAAGAAAAAGCAGGCCTCACCTTTCATTGAGAAGGAACTGTAATGGAGTCTGGCTGTGCGTGTTCGCTGCCCATAGCAGCGGGCAGCACAAGGTAGTGCTACTGTGGAACAAATCTGCGAGACTTCCCTGTACAACCCACATGCTGTGTCACAGCTGTAGGTGCTCAAACATTTTTCCTCTGCTGTAACAGTTCAGTTGCACTGGTAGCTGGATGGAGGTGAAATTAGATAAAGACTTGATAGAACCCCTCAGAATCCTTTTCAGAGTGTTAAGATTATATGTTTAGGGCAACTCACAAATTTTACTTAAGGGATAATAAGACTTTCTGTGCCAGAGACCCTAAGCCTTTTGTTGCCAAGGCATGCAACTTCTCTGCACATCAACAGATGTTGCAAATTTTAACATTACGTTCTTTGAAACCATGGAGTTCATATGCTTATCAGACCAAATTCTGCCTGCTTGATTTTAAAGTTGGCTGCTGTGGTAACTAGGCGACATTGGGATACCAGAACATTTAGGAATATTTTTTCTAGTAATTCCCTGAGAAAAGAATCTTGCTTGGGGCCAAATCTTTTATTTTGGGGGGAATTCCTTGGTACCTGGCACCATTCCCAAGGGCTTAGGGCTTGTAGTTTTACTGACTCCTTGGCATCTAACTGTTTGTAGGCTGCAAGTCCATCCTTACAGGACCAGGACAATACCATCTAATAAACACTTTTGCTGTGTATATTTAAGAGCAGGAAATAGATCAATGATGTGTGCAAAAGAACTATTATGAGGAAATCTTTGCACTGTTAATAGCTGTACTTTCTCTTCTGAAGAGCATTAGCTTCAGTTCACATATTACAGGTAATAGCACCCATGGACAGCCTTATTCAGTGCCTGCATTAGTAGTGCCAAGAACTTTTCCAAATAGTCTCCTTCAGGGATGTTTTGGGAGTCTTGATTAGTGTGGTTCTTACAGTCTAAGAATAATTGCTCTGAAATATCCCACATGAATATGATAGCCTAGGAGAGTAATATCTCTGTTCTCTTCACTAATTTTTTTTTTTTTTTTATCAGAGACTATTCTGCTTGGAAAGCAGGTAGCATCTGAGAGCAGGTGCCTATGCCTCAGAAACTCCAGTTTGAAGTCCCCTGCATTTTGCTAAGATACCAGGCTGAGAACTGGAGCATCTGGAATACGTATATGCACCTTATCCTGCTCGATTTGTTAAGGTAGAGGTAACTCCAGTGCATCTTCTGATGGTTCTGCGAAGGGAGTGCTAATCCCTGGCAGAGAGGAGAGGATGGCACATTAGGGTCAGAGGCATTTTAAAACTACAAAATTACCCACAGGATGTCTATCAAATTCCTAGGAATCACAAATGCATGTAGGAAGTGCTGTGTCTTGCCTCCCAGCTTTCCAAATGCCTCATGACTGCATAGCTAGGTGAAGTTAAATTCCTTTACTTCAGGGAGATTGATATTCCCCTTGAACAGCAATTTACTATCTTTGGGAAGGGAACGTTCATGCCATCTTGTTACATGAAAGTTTGAAAATTCCTATAAAGAGTCTTGTTGATATTTTCCCAAAGAACTATTTTTTATGTGCAGATGATGATGCTAACCACCAAAAAAGAGGTAAATAAGCTCCAAGGAGAAGGTATCCATACATCATGTTCCTCACAACTATATCCTAGTTTGTCCTAGAAATGTATTATGCCTTTAATACTGCCACAGTATTATCCTTATTGTGTCCTGTCATGGGATTGGCCTCAGAAACATGCAGTCAACCCTGAAGTTCTTTTGGTAACGGGCTTTCTGATGTTAGCTGAGGTTACAGGAAGCTGCCTCTGAGATGCAGGTGTACAATCAAGTACTTGGATCTGGTAAACCATAGTTCTGTGTCTCTGCTTTTTTTGCCTGTTTTGTGGGCACTTCTGCCCATATCTGTGCTTTTTTCCCCACACAATAGCAAAATAACTATAGCCACAGATATTTCAAAGATTTTTACTTCTGCTATTGCATTTAATAGCCAGGTTTGATTTGTTTTGTTTCAGAAGAAATGCCTCTAGGTACTTTTTCCCACGCTCCCCAAAACCAGGTAGATGCTTGGGATTTGTTTTTTGCTGTGTAATCTACATTATAGCTTATGCCACTTCCCTGGTGCAAGTTCCTTAAAAGCAGTGAGTAAAGGCGATTTCCTTGTTTTCCTTTTTTTTTGTTTTCTCCTCCTTGATAGGGCCTTGATAGGGCTAATCCAGTTGAAGATAGTTTAAACTAAATCTTCACTTACCCATGATATTTTAGTGAACTGTGTGTTCATTTGTCCGTACGTGGTGCGTTACAGAACCTCAAATAATGAGAGTCAAGTGTTTTTAAAAATACTGCAAAGGGCTGTGCTGTGGTTTTCAGTCCAAGCCTTGCATGGGGGTGGCATATGGCTACACGACCTAAATAGAGGCATAAGGAGGTGTTATCGCAGAGGTGCCAGGGCTTTGGAGTTTGAGACATTTGGACAAATAGGCAGTTAGGGTTGCTGCCTGATCCTCCAGGTTGAATTGTGCTCTAGAAGATCTGGCGAGGAGCTCTGCATATATACGCAGGAGAAGACCAGAGGGATTATGGTCCCAGCATGCCTGGGTGAGACTCAAGAATGGAAAAAAGTCTGTCAGTGACAATCTGGCCCTACCAAGTAGATAATCCAGAGCTGATTAGTGCAGGAAGAAGGAGGTTATGTGACCGATGTAGTAAATCACAGAGATAATTACTTGAAAGACATGCTAGAGCAGAACTATAAGAAATAATGGAAAGTAATAAAGTCTGTAAACAGCAATGATTTTTAAGACCTCAGTGCTTGTGGGAGTGCTTCAGGAAAAGGAAGAGAGAAAGTAAAATATAGAAAGGGACAATAATATTAGATGAGAACAACAGGAGTCAAATCATGAACTGCATTAGGGACCTGGAAGATTGCAGTATTTTAGATAAGGAAGTAAGGGACTAAGATAAGTACAGAGTCAGTAAACTGAGATAAGAGCAAGAGAGAGAAGGTAATTGGAGGCAGTGCACTTTGTGGTCCATGGGCCAAATGTATTACTCCAGCAGAGCTGCACCAGGCAAGTGTTTGGCCCCGGTAAGTTTAGCCCCAAGGATAGGAATATCAAACTGATGACTTTGAAGTGATTGTTGATAATTTAGTAGAACCATCTGCACAGTGTTTGGTAGCTGTTAAAAGAGCAAACAAGATCTTGGAATATGCAGAGAGTGTTCTGGGCTATAAATGCAGTGACTTTATTGTCCCATCATATTAAAAAAAATAAAATAAATAAAAGATAATGACTCAGATTGTGGGCTGGTGTAAATCAGCTTGGTTTCACTGAAGCCAGCTAAGCAGCTTTATCTCAACAGTCTGTGGCTGTTATTAGTAATATGTATGTCTGTCTAGTTGTGGTATTCACGAAGGACAATTTCACTTGTTACACTATTCAGAAAGATATGCAAATGATCAAAACATGGGGCATAACATGACACCAATAATAAAAGATGAAATTAAACTAAAATGTACGTGTTCTGAGTACTACTGATGTAGACAACTCTTGTTCCCTATTCGTATAAAGTTCTCTGTGGTGGAGATCTGTACATCATGTTAGTCCTTAGAGTGATCTTATGTGACCAGTGCTGGCAGATGTGTGTGCTGGAATCCACACTACAAATGGCTTAGCATTGGCCTCTGCAAAGGTGGTGGGATCCGTAGGGGTCAGGCTGCCTTCTCAGCTCTTTATGAAAGTAATGTGGACGTTTAATAGTCTAAGGAGTGCACTAGGCTTCCATCCGTTCTCAGGACTAGCAGATTTCAAAGGAATTTCAGACACTGCTCTGCTCCATATTATAAGGCTTTGTGTGCCCAGCTAAATGTATTAGGTACCTAAGGGCCTTCAGAAAGACTTTCAAAAGCTGCTTAGCTGAACCACGGCTTCTCTGCTTCCCCGGGAGTGAAATGTGGAAGAGAGAGAGACAAAATAGGTAGAGCTAGATGTACATCTACAGAGAAATAAAATGAAGAGCCCCTTTCTATTATTATCTTAAAGGAAGAGTTTCAGCATGGCACTGCAGGAGAGAGTTTGTAGGAGTTAATGCA